GTTTTTCACAAAATGCAGATTGTGTTATTGATGGCTGCCCATTTGGAAATCATTATGAGACAAGAAGTAATCTGTGAAGCTACCTCAGCATTTAGAGTAGAACACCCCCCCCCCCACTTTGGTCTTTCAACCAAGTGTCAAAGTTAGTTTTGAGTTCTTAAAAACCAAGTCCACCCTGAACCAACTACTTTTGTAATGCTTTAGTTAAGAGGATGCTCTTGGCTATACTGTTAGTATATTAGAAAAGAAAGTGTATATTGCTCTGTAATGGGGCTATTTCTTGTGAGGGTATATGGTGTTTGTGGGAGATAGTATTTAATTGAACTTGACGTGCCAGTTTCATGCATTTTTTCCCGTTCGAATTGTGTTAAACATAACTAACTCTCTCATGTTTTCTCCAACACTTTTTGTGAAGGGATACTGAAACTAGGAAGTGTTTGTCAAGGTGCACTTGCTGCAATTCTCAGTCAACTCCCCTAGCACAGGGTGTTCATTTTCGTGTCCCAGACCTCTTGAAGAGCAGCTATGTGCATTCATCTTTCAGTGAATTTTGCCTTGTGAAGTATCAAATAAGCCCTGCCTGCTAATTAATATATGAATTAATCAACATTTGTAATAATATGATGAATTATTTCATTGAATGTTCTAAGCACATTATCAATTATAAATATTATTTTATGATAGCTATGATTATTATTATTATTATTATTATTAGCATCATTAGTGAAATTGTAACGTTAGTCTACTGACATATTTCATGTAAAGAAAAATATTTCACACTGTTTTTAAAAATAAAATATATGACAGACAAGTAACCATCCATGCCACTCTCTGCTATTACCGTCTGAAATACAATTTGGGGGCCAGAATAATTGTTATTTTTTCATAAACCCTGGGGAACCACTAACCTAGTCCTATGAACCATTATTAACACAAAATTCCACTCATCATTGGTGCCAATTAGCAGGTTGCGAACAATCAATTTGAATCTCAGCCAAGCAGGAATTTCATGAATTTCAAATTTCACATAATTTCAAAAGTATACCCCCATTTGGAATTAATTGTAGGCTAATTGTAATGGAATTTACCCCAAACTTGGCAATATATCACCTCTTCAGAGAGAGCTATTTGGACATTCTGAAGTTGGTAAATAGATTACTAGCAGGTGGAGAGTGACAAATGAACATGCAAGGGAGAAGAAGATGAAACATGAACGTATATTTCATTACATCAATGAAATCGTTTGATATCATGAAATCCAGTCCCACATTAGCCTACTCCTCCAAAGCTTGTATAGCAGCAGCGGAAAATTTCCACTATGAGGCGTATATTCACACTTACAACACGATAAACAGCGTTTCCATTGCCATTTCCTATTATATGAAAGATTGATGATGGTCGGTTTACTAAACTGGGAGTTTGTTGGAAGTGATACGTAGCAGCATATTCTATTCCAGCATGTCACGAATCCAGCGTAGGCCTAACCAAATGAGAAGAAATGTGCGTGGAGTGTTGTCAATTTGATGATGCCTTGAAATAATTGTCACCAGGGGATATGCCGACACAGCAGTCTTTAGACAAAAGAGGGATAAGATATGCTCTGGTGTATTGGTTCCATAGTCAACGACTGAACCAACCGTATTGACTTTGACTTCAACAGCACAGACGGATCAGGAGGAAGGTTAAAATCACTATGCCTGCTGGAGAAACAACAAAACAAGATAACGTCCTAAATGTTCATAAGAAATCGGCAAGATTGTAAGTAGGTTTTTGATTACGCGAGAGAACAATTGGGAGACCTGGTGAAGTCCAGTCCCATTTAATAAAAATAAGAGTTATTATTGAGACGATTTGAGCTTGAAAATAAACATAATCGCAATATCATATTTCATACACGCCCGCAGACATGCCCAGTGCCACAATGTTTAATGTATAAGACAGCAGCATTATACCAGACATGCAACGCAGATGATAAATATGCATGTATTCAATTAAGGGTATTAAACAGGGGTTGATTTGCATAAGGATTTAGGAGCTCAACATGCCTCTTCATATTTGTGTTATAAAACGTTAAAATCAACGCAGGCTTTCTGTGCTTGGAAGGAACAGGTATTATGGGCTATTATGGGATATGCTACTTTTAAGACCCACGCTACCACAAGCGTTTCCTCCTATATGCAACTAACTGGATATATGTGGGGAAAGGTAAAGAAAAATTAGGCGAACTTGTAGGCTAATTGTGAAATAGTGTAGTGATTATTTTGTCATCAGTAATTAGCCTACGGGTAACAATATTTGTATTACTATGATATTATGATTGATGACATGATCATAATCATGATTATTAGGCCGATATCATTATCGTTGTTTTGCAGTCCTTTAGCAGGCTATACTAGCTGTTAAAAGTTGAAAGATGAAGCGTTGAAAAATATAGACTATTGTTTTCCCTATGAAAGTCAAGAGTGCTAGAAAGATAAAGTTTTGTGCTAAGTGGATTCTGGACTCTCTTCATACAGGCTATTATATGTGTGGATTTTCCATTGTTTACATCTGAGACAGAAATCTAACAAATAAGTGCAAAAGCTGGTGCCCTGCTATTTAATTTCTTGTCGTTTCCTTTGCCATCGATGAAGAATAGGCTATTCTATAAAATGTGATGGTTTCAATGGGGAACAGTGTGGCTAGGTCTTGACAGTGATGTCATTTTCTCACACACATCTCAGGCATTTTCTGTCGCCCATTATTTTCCTGAACAACGTAAGTCCTCCTCTGATGACGAAGTCCAAACTCCCCTCCCAATTAAGATCACATAGCTAATTAGAAGAGCGGATCCGGAGTAGAGGCTTAGGCTATGGCCAGGGACAGCAGCGTCACCCACCACGCAACACTGGTTTGAAACTGGAGGAAATGAGAAGGGAAGTCTGAGTCTAGACGGGAGTACCATTGAAATCATTCATATTGAAGTGTGTGTCATTAGAACAGACACATCTTCAATTTGGGAGATTCTTCATTTACTCTAAATGACTCGCTCTGCACGAGGTGTATTATGTTCACTTTATATCACACATTTTGGAATGCATGCCGTTGACACGGGCAAATTTGAGTTTTTAAATGACTGAAGAAAAATGCCTCTGAGTTGGAGGCCTATTTTGAGAACTTGCCGTTGATTTGATTTATTTTGTATGGATTAAACAGATGCAATACGGGCCTTAATTTGTGATATCAATTTGCCCATTTTAAAGGCATATGTTGCTGGTATTTGTAACATGATACAATTTTTATTTTACCGTTATTTTACCAGTAAGTTTACTGAGAACACATTCTCATTTACAGCAACGACCTGGGGAATAGTTACAGGGGAGAGGAGGGGGGATATAGATTAAACAAATCGAACACAACATTGAAATCTATACAACAACACCATGATGGAACCTGCATTTCAAATGACTATTATTTCTGTCATTGCTCAATGAACGTCTTCTTACACTACAAAATATGACGCAGAATGCATTGAGTCCCTATGATGGAATAAAGTCATGGGGTCTCAGACGCCAGTGTGACATGCTCTAAACAGATGGTCCAATAGAGAAGGTGATGCAGGAGATCATGTAAGCTATGATTTGTTAAATGTTATGTTATACGATATACAGATATAAAGATCTAATAAATGGGTCCGGGTGGGTCAGACAGAGAGAGAGAGAGAGAGAGAGAGAGAGAGAGAGAGAGAGAGAGAGAGAGAGAGAGAGAGAGAGAGAGAGAGAGAGAGAATTTAATTTAATTGAGTGAGAGATATGCATGAACGTCATGTGACAATGGTCCAACAGATCATCTTTACACACTAAAATCTTTGCAACACTGTCAAATCAATATTCCCGTTCTTCTTCTTCTTCTTCTTCTTCTTCTTCTTTCCATGTTGTTTTAGACTAGATAAGCACTAAACTAAAAGTATTCAGATATCTAATCAAAAGCAGTCACAGAAAGGATGCGTCCAAACAGCATGACATTGGTAACCAACGAAAGAATACTCTGCATACTTCTTCGGCAGCAGTAAAATAAGAATTCGACGATGTTGAAGAACCAATGAACATAAATCGTGGAACGTGACGTAAGGGTCCCTGTAGAAAAGGCGCAGAGTGTATCTCAAGGCCAGAGACCGTGGAACAGTGATAGGGGCTGCCTGCTTGAGTCTTAATGTATAGTCTTAGTCGACTCCTCCTCCTCGATTACTCCATGCATCTTTCTTGGCAAAGAGAAAAAAACTACTAAAGGAAAACAGCTTCTCTCAGGATCTAAATGCAAAAAACAAATTGACAACGAGTTATAAACATCTTTTTTTTTTCTTACAAATAATTGGCTACATGTAGATTTCCATAACATCAGTGCTGTTCTAACACCAACTTGGACACTGTATTTTAGTTATATGACAAACTGAAGAGGACGCAGCTACATGGAGATGCACGCGCCTACAATCTCAGAGGCTGTTGTGATTTTTTTCTATTCCTTCGATTCGTGTGGAAATCATTTTAGTGTTACAGTGATGCAGTAGATTATTCCAATAAAAGTAGCGGCAGTGTCCATTGATCGAGTTAGTATTGGTCGGCGAAGGACTAATTCATTCGTTTACTAATGCGCTGCAAAATGTTTTAATCCAAATACCCCTGAAGAAATAGGAGGGACCAGTAGCAGACCCATGCAACGGGGGCTTCGATAGTTGGTATGTTTTTAATTCCTTAGGAATTCTTTAGCAAATGGCATTTCTTCTCGTATGATAATGAAAAATATATTGCTATGCTGCATATAATTATTAGCATTAGTAAAACGACGGATTCCGTCACTTTAATTAATGAATTATAGCCTATGAGAGAGAGATGCAGATATTCGGATGATGATTTCCATTGGCAGATGATAGAGTGGAGAACACGTGTCCATTTTTGCCTCACATTTTTTTCTGACCTGGAATTCTTACATGTCACACCAAGAACGGAAGAATCTGACTGCCAATGCACGGGCTAGGTTTGCGTCTTATGGAAATCTTTGGTTGCAGATCTGAGGAAAACACGTATAATATCATCCCCTCTGCGGCAACGATGCTTTTCCACGGACTCCCTGGAGGCGACATGCACGGTGTTGTGGAAGAAATGGAGCGGAGAGGAAAGAGCGAATCCGCAGCTATCAGCTCTGCCATAGATATGGGAGAATCTGAAACGGTAGGCAACTGAACAGCCACACGCTGAGGGGCGATTGCAATCGAGAGTATAGCGAGCAGTTGAGCACAAATATCATAATGCGCAGCAAAACGTTCATGCAAAAAAGTAGGAGCAGTGCACTATAAAATCATACTTGTGATATTAAAAAGACTTGACGTGGGATAGGCTATTAAAACTTGTTGGACTAAGAAATAACTTACTTTTGGAGTTTATTATTATTATTTGGAATATGTCTTAAACAATGTATGTATGATTATGGAAGTATTTTGAATCTCTATCACAAAACAATTTAGCGTAATCTAAGAATAGTAGGCTAATTAATTCCTAGGCATATGCTAATCTGTTAATAGCAAATATCAGCGATGTTTTTATTATGTCCACTCAAGTGTTTTTAAGCATGACATTGTTTTGGTGTTAGATATGTTGTGGATTTAAACGACATCATAATGAAATGAATGTTTCATAATTTTCTACTTTTGAAATTGTACAACATTACACATTCATCAAATCGTTGTGCAAATTAGTATGAGGCCTATATGCGGCTGTATATACCCTTACAAATAAGGGTACAATTAATAGAGAGTTGTTTTACCTTTAGACTAAAACGTGCATGTGTTCAAATCTTGATTGATAAAATGTAACTTGAGTTAAATTACAAATTAATTCGTTAGAATGGTAACAAATGGGGGGTCTTCTCCCTATAACATTGGCATTCACTTTGTTGCCTGTATTTTTTGACTAGGCCTAATGGGTGGGTAGAAGTGGTTTGATGTTTGATCTGTTCGGCTATATGTGATAATGTATTCCTATTGTGGTGCATTTCTTTGTCTTGTTATATGGTTTTAGCCAAATCAAAGTTTTAAGCCAAATTACATTAGGTGAGGTGAAAGTTTTAGCATCCATCCCCCCACCCCCCAATAATAATAATAATAGTCCCAAAAGTGTTTAAGAAATTATACTTTTCTTGGAACTTTTTAAAAGATAAAAAACATTTTAGAGAATAGGCCTAGAAAAAATGAAGTGTGTGTGTATGTGTTTGTTTGTAAGTGTGATTAGGATATCTGAAATCGTAAATCTTGGTGTGAGTAAGCCGTTTTATTTCGAGAACTACAGGCTACATAGCATGTGCTTTGTTGTTGTTTATGGATGGATGTTTCACTTTTAAATGCCCAAAATGTTTATAACAAGATATGCTTTGGTCAACAATAGGATACAGTTAGCCTAGCTATAGGCCTATAACTTGGCATATTTTAATTGATGTGAAAAAACAAAATCTTCATTTCTAGTCTAAATAAATAAGCCTGTACTGTTCGGCGCAGTGCCCTCTGTCAGATATTACAATATGTTCATGCAAAATATCATACTTAAAAGAATGGCTAATAAAAAGGAAGCATCTCCAAAAGGGAGCATATCTTGTGGCAGAAATGATATATTATTTCGATATGGGTGTTTGATGACATGTGGTTGACATAAGTTTGTGTTTGTTTGGTTGTCTTTTAGAACATGCGGTGCATGAACAGTGACAGGGTGGCTCTGTGCGCGGGCTGCGGCGGGAAGATTGCTGACCGCTACTACCTGCTCGCGGTGGACAAACAATGGCACATGCGCTGTCTCAAGTGCTGCGAGTGTAAACTCAACCTGGAGTCCGAGCTCACCTGCTTCAGTAAAGACGGAAGCATCTACTGCAAGGAAGATTATTACAGGTAACTCAATAAACCCCGCCAAATGGTGCTGCACACAATAGTAAAAGTGTTGGGTGGCTATGAAGAATAGCAAACATTTGAAGTCAGATTTGCCCTAAAAATAGTCACCCCCTTGACACATTATATTTAATTTGGGTATTACAACACCATATAATAGGCTTTAATGTGGTCTATAGCGTGGCCATACTACTGAGCTTCGACAAAACGTTAAAGTGCCCTTGCACAAAACGCATTACATATGGCCTGTGTGAGAGTTTCAAAGTACTGTACATGGTTCTGTTTCAAAGCGGTACCTTGGAGTACGCTTACATAACTGCCACTGTATGTGCTACTAATTGACACGGTTAAGCCTAATTCACATCTGATCAAAATGTGTCCATGCACTGACTAGGTTATGTCTTCTCCGCAGAAGGTTTTCGGTCCAGAGATGTGCCCGGTGCCACCTCGGGATCTCGGCCTCAGAGATGGTGATGCGGGCCAGGGACTTGGTGTACCACTTGAACTGTTTCACCTGCACATCCTGCAACAAGATGCTAACGACTGGGGACCACTTTGGCATGAAAGACAGTCTGGTGTACTGTCGGCTGCACTTTGAAAATCTCATACAGGGGGAATATCAGACACATTTCAATCATGCGGATGTAGCCTCTCACAAAGGACTGGGACCTGCCAACGCATTGGGACTATCCTACTTCAACGGCGTGGGGACTGTGCAGAAAGGGCGGCCCAGGAAAAGGAAAAGTCCCGGGCCAGGAGCAGATTTAGCAGCCTACAATGCCGGTAAGACTACAGTGATAACATTTCCAATTAATATAGGCATTTTCAGAACAACGCCATACTGACTCAATGGCCACTCCCCCTAATCAAAAAGTTTTCATTGCGTATGACAAAATGACATAACTGTGCAATTTATAATTATTGCCAAGGCCTGTTATTAACAACGCAGGCCAACAATCATGAAAGGGTGGGACTTAAAAGTGCAGGGGAGTCTTTATCCATATGATTTTAAGCATGGTAATAATTTAAATAGAGTAACCTACTTGTTCTCAATAATCTATTAGCTATAGTACATTCGATGCAACGACAATTTTATATAGATGTTGCATTCTTTTAGGCTAATGTCTTTGTTATTTCAATCGTGACAATTCTTTCTCATTCAAGTGGAGAGGTGCCAAACGATTCGCCCTCTTCATTGCATCAGTTAATCTCTAACGATTTAAATAGGCTATCATAATCAATTGATGTTATGATATTTTTGTTTTTGCAACCAATATTTTGCAACCAATATTTCAATGACTTCGTTCAGTTCATTGATTTAAGCTATGGGCTGTTATTTCTTAGGCCTAAAAGGCACGTGGGGCCTATAGCAGAAGACAAGTAGACAATTCTTTGATTTTACCATACAAAGTTGTTTTTTAATCATTCATTTTCTTTACCTCCATGGACGTTCCTCTTTTGTTAATATCAGAAAAGTATCGTAACCTAAAGGGTTGTAATATTGCATTAGCGTATTTGTGCTCTGGAGAAACTAAATACCACATTTGACCATCATTGTAGGCTACACTGTCATTCGACACAACCGAGTTAATTTCTGCCTAATATTCAAAACATTTGACCTAATTTCTCCCACGAAATTATAACATGGTGGTTTCCCAAATTGCTGCAGATTATGTATCCGAAATCCCTCTCTCTACAATTCAACTGCAATTCAACTGTGTGTGGCAGGACAGTTTTATCCACACATTTATTCATCCTGTCCTCTAAAAAATTTTTTTGAAGTTCCGGCTTTCGCCTTAGCCATTTCCCACTTGTCAGGCTCTATAGACGTCTAAAGTTCCCCTTCTCGCCCGGTTGCGCACTCGGGATCGGTTGGTCTGGGACCTGGCCAGAATGGGTGTGCACTACAAGAGATCAATGAGACTTGACGAGTTATCCAGTAGTGATTGTGGCCAATGAGCAGTTGTTGCAACAGTAAAATAATTTATATAATAAAGAAGGCCCCTTCAGTAAGCATAATTGTCTTCTTGCATCGACATTTGTGTCTTGAGAATGAAATATTGCCGTCAGTTATTGTGTTATTAAACTGTTTTCGTGCATTCCTTCCAGCTTTCATAAAATAAGTCAATCGTAGAATAAAAGTTTGATAAAGGGCAAAGTGAATCGATCTACCTTCAGGATATTATCCTATAGGCTATTCAAGTAGGCGTATATAAAATCACTTTTCTATTTAGGCCTACGCATCACTTGCCCGTGTGTCATCATTCACTTGGTCATATAAAGACTTTCCACATGGTTCATCATCTGATTGAGCCACCATACTTTTTCAACCAGTAAACCGAAGTAACATGTCTCACAACATCTAAGCGGGAAGGGGAGGGGGTTGGGCCGCTACTGCCCTCTACTGTTTACGCATTGGGCCACTGACTGATATACATATCAACCTTACTGTATTAGATTAATAAACAACGTATTTAAAGTAGGCTATTGACTAAAGTCACCTAACAATCTTTCACAAACGAAATCGATGTTGTGCTTGAATAAATATCTAATACGTTTCTGAAGCAAAAATATATATTATTTCCAGCTGTTATTAGAAATGTACTCATCAGCCTATCAATAGCTTTTGAACATTTGCGAAAGATAAATACTGTTTATGTATGTCTGGTGTTTGTGGTTTATTGTCTGAAGTGTTATTCTGAGACATTTGAATGACTAATATTTATTGTATGCAGCATTGAATATGTCTGAACTGTTATGAATAGATAGCAACACATAAGCATTTGCCAAGAAAATACTGTCATGGAAATGTGTCATGTTTCTGCATCCACGATTCGATTATCTAGGGCAGACTATAGCATATGACAATTAATATGACAACAACCATCACACAATCAGGGTTATTATTATTATTATTATTATTATTAGTAGTAGTAGTAGTAGTAGTAGGCCTAGTACTAGTAGTAGTAGTATCAACATATATTAATTAGACTATTATTGTATTTTATTTCACCTGTTTTATGTGCTTATTATTTCAGCTCAATTCATATTTTTTCAAGGACAAATGGCATTTTTATTTTGCAAACTGACAATGCATATTTCCCAGCTTAAGACCTCTATGTGTAAAGACACTCCTGCCAATACCAGCCAGAAAGTAATTCACATGCACATATTTTAATTGGTTGATGTCTTACACAACCTGCCTATGACACCATATAGTGAGTGCTGCTTAATGTATGTGAATGTAACACTGGGTATCGCCCTAAAAATGTGTAATTGTTAGAAGTCAATGTTCATGTTAACACTGATATATACAAATATCACAAATACATCAAAAATGCTCCAAATATAATATCATATTTTGATTATGGTGCTGGATGGTGTAAGGACCTTATGAGACACCGCTGTTCAATAGCCAGGCTGTGGTTGAATTTACAATCACTGTTCAAATATACCTATGATTTTCATGTGTGTATTCCTCGCCACGCTCTCTACCCAAAGTTTAATTACTAAACCAATCTTAAAACATGGTATTAAAAGCCAGCTACACTCACTGCTGGGCTGCATATAAGCCAGCATTTTGCCCGTTTTATTAATGAATTAATTCAATACATAATGTAGCAAAATACATAACATGGTCATGTTTAACTTATTCACTTGTTCGTGAATGAAACACCATATTCAGGTGGACTAACCAACATCTGATCTTTGTGTGTGTGTGTGTGTGTGTGTGTGTGTGTGTGCGTGTGCGTGTGCGTGTGTGTGTATGTGTGTGTGTGTTTGTTTGTTTGTGTGCGTGTGTGTGGTGTCCTCCAGCACTCAGCTGTAATGAGAATGACGGCGACTCTATGGACAGGGACTCTTACAGCTCTAGTCAGAAGACCAAGCGCATGCGGACCTCCTTCAAACACCACCAGCTTAGGACCATGAAGTCCTACTTCGCCATCAACCACAACCCAGACGCCAAGGACCTGAAGCAGCTAGCCCAGAAGACTGGCCTCACCAAGCGTGTACTACAGGTTAGATACACACACCTACACTGTATTGTTCCTGATATTGAACAAAATGAGGAAAACTACACACAAAAGGAAAAAGAAAATTGTTCTTGTGTATTATGATGGGAATACAATTGAATAATGGGATGTTGAAATCAAACAAGTATCAAAGGGACATTTTTATATTTCAATTTCCAGATAGGAATTGTGAGGAGTGAGAGTAATAAAATCAGATCTACTGCTTATTATGGGGAGCGGGGATCACAACAGAGAGCGCTTGATTTCCACAAAGACGACAGCAAATTATCTAGGGGACTGAAGAAAAAAATGAGACAAAAAGGTTTCTGAACAAAAATTCTGTAAAAATCGCTCCGCTTTAATTAACGCTCCCAGAAAACAAAGCAGTCATTTTGCTTTGATGCGTTCTATTTTTCATGCCTGTTATTCCAGTTGAAACCTTCCCTCTGTCTTTTCCCCACGGTTCCATCACTAACAGTCGCAACGATGTTGCCTTGCTGTGGTACACAGGTCTGGTTCCAGAATGCTCGGGCCAAGTTCCGGCGGAACCTGATGAGACAGGAGAACACAGGGGTGGACAAGACCTCAGACGGCTCCACCCTGCAGGGGGGCACGCCCTCTGGCCCCGCCTCAGAGGCCTCCATGAGCCCCTCCAGCACCCCCACGACCCTGACGGACCTGACCAACCCCACCATGCCCACCGTCACCTCCGTATTAACCTCTGTGTCTGGCAGCATGGATGTCCACGAGTGCAGGAGCCCATCGCAGACCACCCTGACCAGCCTGTTCTGATGCCCCCTCACCTCCCTCACAGACTGCCACCTTCTGATGCCCCCGAGCCTTTAAGCAAACACCCTGACCAGCCTCTCCCCCGACCTCCCCCCTCGACTCTGTCCACTCTGAACTAAAACACAGACCTTTGACAGAGACAATGAATGGACTAGTAAAATGAAGGTAATGGAAAAAGGCTCTTACTTTTACTCTGAGCCCATTTTAGAATATTTACATAGTGAGGCTGCCAAGCCTTACAGAAGGAACCGTTGTTGTTATTTTGTTGTTGTTGTTGTTGTTGTTGTTGTTGTTGTTTTGTTGAGAACTGAGGAGACTTGATTAGCATTTTTCAGTGTTTACAGAATGAAACTTGGGAAAAGAAAAAAACTGCTTAATTTTGGAAATTCATTTTTTTCTGCACAATATTTATGTTGTTGTACAGAAGTCACTGTTAGGAAACATTGAGAAGGATTGTAAAATGATGGGAAATCTGAGATTAAACACAAGCTAAGATATCCTAAAACTGCAATGTGCCTTACACTCCATTTTATCTTCAATTGGCCCCAACATATCCAGACCTGTTTCTCCCATCAAAATCAGATAGAAACACATATGTTTTGAACCAGCAGAGAGTGTTTTGGATCAAGGGTATAGGAGTAAATGATTCACACAAACTGTGTGAGTTCCGTGTGTCTGGTGCATGTGTGTGTGTCTGTGTGGGTTTGTGGTCTTAACTAAAGTTTGGAATTCATTAGAGTTGGCAGACTAATTATTTCTGTTGAATAAATAAAAAATGACATGTTTACACACACGCACACACAAACGGAAATGGCATATGATATCATACAATAGGTTGAAATGAAACAGCCAATGAAAGCTAGTTTTGTTTGTGATCTTACGACTTGCATTTATCTTACAAGAACAACAATTCTATACCTCATTTACAGAAGAACTTGATATCAATGAGGATGGTTTTGCTGGCTAAAACTGACATACAGTGCACACTGGCATCCCAACCTCTTACCTTAACTCAGCTTCCACTGTTCGACACAACTGGGAATTTTGAATTCCAATTGGTGAAAATGATTTTTCCCTCAACAGGAGTTGAAGCACTAAAAGCCAATATAAGGCTATTTTCAAGTTTATCTTTAATCAGACACAATGTAGCATGATATGTGTAGGCAGCGTGTCATGTCCAACCAAGAGAAAAGGCCAGTTATACTTGTGTTACAGTAAACACCATCATTATCAAAAGCTGTAATTGTGGGCTTCTGTTTTAGTTGTGTAACCATTGCCTTCGAAATTCTGTCACATGAAACAACAGTGAACTGGCTACAAATGTTTCATTTTCCCTTTTGTGTACAGTATCACAAACCAGGACTTTTATTCATAGGAAAAAAAAGATGAGGTTTACAAGTGAGAATGCGCAGTCATACGGTTCTCTCCAGCTTCATCCCTCAAACACTACTACTATTACTACTACTACTACTACTACTACTACTACTACTACTACTACTACTGTACCAGCCACTGGTCTCCAATGCTGTATGGTTATTGACTGAGGACTTACTGTTTTCCTGCACCTTCTTGTACAGATCCTGACCCTTCGATGTAGTCTTCAGTTCTGTAAGAAATATAAACAATTTATTATAACTTATGTCATCCTTACAAATTTGTCCCTTCACGTCTGTGTTTTGTCTTACACCATTAAAAGCACTAACCTATTTTGCATTGCTGGACTAAAGCCTCATATTAAGATGCTCCGTCATCTATCAACTGTAGTGGATGGTGGTATTGTAGGTGTATTGTCACGGGATCAAATCTGGCTCTACATATGCAGTCCCTTCCTTTCAGCATTCCAGCAGATCCAGTCTAGAACCATGATTGGAATTGCAGGAATGAGGGCCATGCGATGCCCTGCTTTCTCTTATGAAATTATGGATGAGGCCTGCTTAAATGACTGTTCAGACCAGGGCCGAATGGCTTTTATGGGAGCTAATGTTTTTTAGGGGAATTTTGTCGGCCACAGACAGTTGATGAACTCTCACGATACAGGCACGGTTTGGACCAACCTTTAAGCCCCTGACTGGTGTAAAACTGGTCCGTTAGTATCCTCCATGTTGGCTCTGAGATACAGTATCTCAACAGGCTGCTGGTGCTACGATACGTGACCCGGGTTGCTGTACACACTATGCCAACCAACCCGTTAACATTCAACATTAAACCAACATAGTAACACCTACTCAGGTGACAATATATATAATACATTATCAACCCTGCAAGCAATACAATACTCTATTGTTATGGTGGGAGATTATAATACCGTTTTAAATAGCTCAATGGACTGTAAAGGAAATCACACTACAAACTATCACCCTCATGCTCTTAAGGAAATCGTGAATGTCATGGATACATTAAAACTAGTAGATATATGGAGGCTTAAATATCCTGATCTAGTGAGATATACATGGCGGAGACTCAATCAAGCTAGTCGTCTTGACTTCTTTCTTATGTCATTCTCGTTGGCACCAAAAGTTTAAATAAAAAGTGTTGATAGGGGACAGAATGCGGTCGGACCATCATATAATTGGCATATACATTACTCTTACTGAATTTCCACGTGGGCGAGGATATTGGAAATGTAATCAAAGCCTATTGGATGATAACTTGTTTTTAACTAGGACAGAGGAATTTTTAACTGATTTTTTCAGACATAACATAGGTACAGCAAATCCCCTTATTGTATGGGACACTTTTAAATGTGCCTTTAGGGGCCATGCAATTCAGTACTCATCTCGAAAACAAAAGCAATTTAGGTCAAAAGAGTCCATAGTAACAAAGGAAATAGAAGGTCTAACAGAACAGATTGATAGCAATAAAAACTGTAACATAGAGGCTCCGAATAAATTAGAGGAAAAACAAAAAGAAATGGAGAAACCTATTCAAGAAAGATCAAGTGTAATATACCAAAAAAAAATTAAATCTTCAACATAGAAATGCTACCAAAAAGAATTTACTGAAAATGGTTACAAATGACGGAGTCACCCATGATTCACCAAATTATATTTTGAAGGAGGAAACAAAGTACTTTAAGCATGTGTTTTCGTTTCAGTCGCCTCCATCTCCTCTAACTGAAGCTAATTGTAGATAATTATTTTCTATTGATAATGTAAAATTAACAGCCATACAGAAAGACTCATGTGAAGGTGAAATCACAGAGGAGGAACTTCTGGATGCAATTCAAGATTTTAAGTCCGGGAAAACTCCAGGGTTGGATGGCATACCAGTCGAGGTATACCAAACCTTTTTTGGTATACTCAGAGGACCGTTATTAGCATGTTTTAACCACTCCTATGTAAATGGTAGATTATCAGACACTCAAGAAGAAGGTCTGATTTCATTATTACTGAAACAGGATACAAGTGGAAAATATAAAGATCCAGTCCATTAAAAAAATTGGAGGCCCCTTACACTTCAGTGTTGTGATGCAAAAATTCTAGCAAAATGTATAGCGCATAGAATTAAAAAGGTATTGTCGGACATTATTCATTCTAATCAGACAGGTTTTTTACATGGACGATACATTGGAGATAATATAAGGCAAGTATTGGAAACAATAGAACACTATGAAACATCTGGGAAACCAGGCCTGCTATTCATAGCAGACTTTGAAAAGGCATTTGATAAAGTACGACTGGGGTTTATATATAAATGCCTGGAGCATTTCAATTTTGGAGAATCTGTTATAAAATGGGTTAAAATCATGTGTAGTAACACTAGGTGTAAAATAGTAAATAATGGCTATTTCTCCAGAAAGTTTTAAACTGTCAAGAGGAGTGAAATAAGGTTGTCCACTATCGGCATATCTATTTATTATGGCCATCGAAATGTTAGCTATTAAAATCAGATCCAACAATAATACCAACTGATTAGAAATCCAGGGCTTAAAAACAAAGGTGTCATTGTTCGCTGATGATTCATGTTTTCTTTTAAATCCACAACTTGAATCCCTCCACAGCCTCATAGAGGATCTATATATATTTTCTAACCTCTCTGGATTACAACCAAATTATGATAAATGTAGTATATTACGTATTGGATCACTAAAAAATAAAAAATTTACATTACCATGTAGTTTACCAATAGAATGGTCTGATGGTGATATGGATATACTCGGAATACATATCCCAAGTGAAATAAATGATCTCACTCCGATACATTTTAATGTTAGCAAAAATAGATAAGATCTTGCTATCATGGAAAGGTAAATACCTGTCAATTTGTGGAAAAATCACCCTGATTAACTCTTTAGTATAATCCCAGTTTATCCGATTTGCTTATGGTCTTGCCTACGCCTAGCGAACCGTTTTTTAAAGTATAGCCAGACAAAATTAAACGGGCCTATTTATATAATGAATATGACAGAAATGATTAAATATTAAAGCATTAGACCTATCACTTAACACTTCAGTCATACAAAAGTTATACTTAAATCTGAACTGGTTCTCTAGTAAATTAGTAAGATTGTCTCACCCAATGTTCAAGAATGGCCTTTTTCCCTTTATTCAGATTACAACTTATCACTTTCAGTTATTTGAAATGGAAATCATCTCCCAAATATCACTATTTCAAAAACAAGCCATAGAAAGTTGGTTGCAATTTCAATTTAATCCTCCAGAAACGACAGAACAAATAATGCAACAAATATTGTGGTTAAACTCAAATATACGAATTGATAAAAAACCATTATCTTTTGAAAAAATGTTTAAAAAAGGTATAATCTTCGTAAATGATATCATAGGAAGGACTGGTGGAGTTATGTCGCACATGCAGCTAACAGAAACATATGGAAATGTCTGCTCTACCCAAAATTACAACCAAATAATTGCAGAATTACCGCAAAAATGGAAGAGGATAGTGGAAGGGGAAAAAGTAAGGAACTTGCCTGCTTTAAAGAACATAATTGGTTAAAGAAAATTGTGATAAATAAAAAAGTATACCAGTTTCATTTAAGTACCAAA